CGAGGTGCACGTGAACACGGATAGAGCTCAAATTATCGTTCCGAACACACACGTCCTCCTCCTCACGGTTGTTGGGTTTGTGGGTCGACAAGTGTGTGCTTTGTAGCCATCACCATTTTCATGTCCACTACTCTCATCTTCCCCACCCTAAATCCACCTCGAATCTACATCTTATCACCAGTCCTCCTCCCCCCACCAATCTGTCCCGAAACTGCGAGCTATCAGACATCACATGAACAAGAACAAACGAGTCACTTTGGCATCTCAAATCTGTCCTAGTACCGAGGAGGTTACTATGACGATTTTAAGAAGGATGAGCATTTGAAGTTAGAGTTTGTAAAACTGGAGTGACAAAGATATGAGTGGAACCGGAAGCTAAACGGATTTCTAGTCAGATTGGTACTGCATTTGTCATTCAGTTATTGTCTTTTGAATCTAGGTAAAATAAGCATCGGTTAGATGTTTTCTTTTAGTCAAAGTAGTTTTTATTTTATACGTTTCCCTACCATACCCTAAAAGCGTCTCTAAACCAAACTTCATTTGGCTCCCTGAGGGAATTGTGGGCAGTGGCTGTTAATTGTCACGTGATCACTTATTGCATAAGAACTATTGTGAAGAAAACTGAGGTGATGTTAGGGATTTTCACTTCCGTTGCATAAGACAACCTAGCATGTTATTCACTAACCCTTTCCTCGGCATTCATTGCACCATGACGACTCAAAATCAAAGCGATCAAACGACGTTGGCAACACTTCACTTCGTCATATACCCATCACATCCATTTGGACAATGTTCCATTGTTTCAGAAAAGTTCGGGGTGCAAAGACGACAGACAACAATTGCTCTTTAGACTGCCGGTGAACGATTCTTAGACGTAAGCGAAAATTGCAATGAAGCGTGTGCACAGGCATCGTTCAATCCACCGGTTGTAGTCGAAAAATCAACTTCCGTAACGTGGTCTGGTTGTTTCACGGGGCCAGTTTGCCGGTCTAAGGTATCTCTCGCTCGCTCGCTCGCTCTCGTCGTTGGTCTGTTTATCTGTTATCAACGCATCTGTCTTCACGTTTACCCTCATCGTTCCGCAGCGTACTGCATTCGCGCACACATGCACACAGACACGTACACACGGACATACGTACACGCAAATACTACCTCATATGTGCCTGCACCTGTGTCTGTATCGATCGCCCCGGCTGATTCAGAGAACGCGGTGTTCTTGCACACACCCAACTCATCACACAGAAACATGCCAACTCACACAGATGCGCATATTTACACGCTGTTTGAGATGAAACAAAAAAGCGGTAACTGACCTCACCAATCGAAACCTAACCGCAATACAACCACTAAGTCGCCACCGCCCCCACCCCCTCTCGTGCGAGGGATCTTACTGGATTTTCTTCTTTCTATGCCATTACGACCAATTTACTCTTCGGATATACATATGTCGCAAACCAGGTGAAATTGAATCACTGAACCAGATAAAAACCTTTAGACGGAAGTTCAGTTATCACGTTACCTAAACAAGTATTTCTCAACACTGAAGATTCATATACCCCCCCCCCCCGTAAGCCCAAATTTGTTTTTCTGTGCTCTTCAGCTCAAAATCAGTTCATTTGCTCAAATCAACAAATCTGATTGCAATCAGTTCAAATGGATATTGTTTACAGTCGACCCTACAGCTTCATAGTCTGTGAATCAAAAAGCTCGGGATCAACTTTCTTTCAACATTCGTCAATGGTGAGCACATTTTGTGTCCCTTTTGAGACATGAACCGTGGCAATGAAGAGATGTGACAACTATAGGCACTTCATTTATCCTTGCTACCGTGCTAATGTACTCGGCTTGACGATTGGTCTACTAATAAAGTTTGTGTATGTAAGTATATTCTTTATGCATATTCAACGTGTCGCATCATTAAAAAGCCTTAGAAGCGCTGTTTCAGCCTTATCAAAAATCGTTTGCAGTAGTTATGCATCAACTCCACTGAGATTGGAACCCGGGTGTGAACAGATGTCAAATCGACATGCTCACCAACAAATTACGTTATCCGGCCTGTAGATTGCGCTGCTGTCAGGTGACAGACTTTGCCGAACTAACTACTAAAACGTGACTGTACAGTTAGAAATATGACAGTAAAAATGAATTCAGATTTCAAATCGAGATTTTAACTCACGTGATTTGTTGCTTATGTTCACAACATTTTGACTCCAACAAGAACAACAACAACAACAACAACAACAACAACAATAATAATAATAATAATAATAATAATAACAAAAGCAATCAAGAAATATCACCCTTTGCCAGCAACTCCACCGAAATAATGTAGCACTAATCGTGCTGAACACTAGCCCGATTTTTCCACCGTGGCCCGTTTTTCGGCTGTTACAATTGGATTGCTCTTTTGCGGCCTTCGATTGAGGTGTCCTATGTAAACCTAATCCTTCCTCACACCTTATTCCCTTGCCTCGCACACTTCTTACGATAGGGAACTAGTGATTGCAAATTAGCTTGGCTGTCACCAGGATTGTCTAGCACGTTTGCATGATCACTAATATGGGTTTCTGACCACGGACTGTGGTGGTGGTGACACGTTGGCATAAACGTCCAAAATTTCAATATTTGTCGTTCAACACCAAAAATACTCAACCCTTGATCTCTTTCCATATCTCGACGATGTTTTGCATGTCCGGCTCCTGGTGAAACTTCCACACTTTGGAACATTCTCTTTTTTCCGAATGATAATCATTTACAAAGTTCAATTAAGTTCGAATATGGAACATGGTTACCATGTCTGGGGCCGTGCTTTTCATATTTTCCCCTAAAACTGCCGGGCTGTGTTCAGAGTAGTCATTCGTCCTGGTACGGATCTCTTCAGAACATTTATCCTGTTTGAATACTGCAGCACAATCACCACCACGTCCAGTTTTCTACCCTTATCGTTACATAAATTGGTCTCCGAAGATTGTCAATCTGGTCTCTTTCACGATTTCATTCGTACACGAGTTCCAATCAAAAGAGTTAAGTTCCCCTCAACAAATACTCTCAAATTCTGTCGAAAGGAAGGCATTTAATTCTATTTCTTCTCCAGAAACCGCAGAGCCATGGAACACCATTACTAACTCCCCTTTTTCTCTTATCTACTACAACTTTATCATATTGGAATACCGAATCGACAAATGGTCTTTTTGTGGTCCAGCAAAGGATCACGGAGCTGAAAAGCTAGTAAGTACTAGACAGTTGTTTCGACCTGGCTGGACCTCGTCAGCAAGGAGCATTCATCAACCTGATAGGGGCTCGAATCTGGGACCTCACAGGTTAAAGGTAAGCATACTTTCCACTCGACCACCGGGTAGCTTATCAGATCCTTTTATGCTTTCCGTGTACACGATATGGCACAACCCATTTTCTCGAGCCTGATCACACCTCGCGCACCTCCAGGGTTATGGCTCGGTCGAAGACAACCAAAATCCGACTACTTCTTCCGTCAGAGTAGCCGAAGATTGAAATTGATCATAGAGCGAATTTCGTCGTGTACAGAGCGTGAACTGAAAAGCTTCGAAAAAATGCTTATGATGCCCCAACCAGGTTGAAACAGCTGTCCAGTGCCTCCTGGTTTTCAGTTCACGCTTTATTTACTCACCACACGATGAAATTCACTACACAATCCAAGCAAATCTTTCACTAATCTCATGAAATCGTATTTGTAAAGAAGGTTCTTCGCACCCGTTTAATGAAATCCTCCATGATTCGGGGCTCGTCCTATGTTTTTGTGCATTCAAAAAATATCAGCTAAGAGCATATCCTATGAATTTTATCTGCCAGGGATTTACTTTACCAATTTCCAGTTCTAACCTAATATGTATTTAGTGCATTATACAGCCATGTTCTTGTGCTTCTGGGAAATTTTGTCCAGTCATTCATACATCACTCATTATAAAAAACTAGGGGGGAGTTGGCTGAGTTTATAGGCATCTAACCCACCACAACTGATACACAACCATCACGATGATCTTTCGGGTTTGAGTAAAACTCTAAGTTTAAGACAAAAAATAGAAATGATAAAAATATAGAAAATTTACGAGAGTATGAAAACCCGATAAAACTTTGAGGTCACCTTCATATAAGGTATATGGTAATATCTAGGACAATTCTATAACATTTTCTGCCATAGCCTTACAACAACTGCCTACTGGATGGATGGATCAGAACGTCAAGATTGGCATGCTAGTCGGAAGATTATGTTATCACATGACGCTGGTTTACCGGTTGTCGGATGATATCAGTCTCCGATTCAGTGAGTAAACAAGACATCAGACTTTGGTGGCGTCCTATTAGTTTCTAAAATGAATTTCAACCGTGCTTCTTTCTCGTTGTGCTTTCGGTCAGATTTACTATCAATCCGATGTTTAATTACTTCAAACTTGAAGTCACTGATTACTTTATTAAACAATGGAGATTTGCTAATGAACCATTACTGGCTGTGCGTCCACTACTACTTTCAGATCACTTCTTTGGTCGAATGAATGAACATATTTCATATCGCATAACGTTAGCCAAATTTGTATTAGCAACTGACAACGGCAATCATTTAAAACAATGAAAGAGCTTCCCTAAAACCGAACCTCATCAGTCCTCAATCAACGGAAAATCAGTAGCGTGATCAGTAACATTCCTTCCATTAAATTGGTTAAGAACAGAGGTAGCTTGCGATCACTGACCTGCGTCGGGTGTTCAATACGACCAGATTTTGAACCGTGATAGATGTAGACCACACCACCATTCTCTCCATAGGGTGCGCCCACCGCAAAGTCTAGCGTGTTGGGGTGCATGCACAGAAAGGGTTAATGAAACCGGAGGCGAGAGACCGGTGAGTGGGGAGGGGTGGATGTAAGAATTTTCGCATGAGAACAACTCAGATGGAATGATCTATTGATATTCATTGTAAACAGTAAACAACTATTGAAAGAGTAAGTAAAAAACAATTGTATTTGACAGCTTAAGCAACGGATAGAACTGGGAGACTTTTTCTTTTTTGATGCAGTTCGTTAGTGGTGCGCCCATTTTGTGTCCCTTTTGAGACTCGAACGATGGACGTTCTCTTTGAGAGCCCACACAGTTGATGTCAACCAATCTCGGCATATGGACCCGCTAGTTAAAAGAGACGCTCTTGTTTCATGGTTTTTGTAAATTCATAAAAACCAATTCCCCCGAATGACTTATTCTACTCCTGAGTTTAATATGCACCCATGTCTTCGATGCACTTTATTTATTTATGCGATTTTGTGTACCAGTCAAGTCAGGTCAAGAGGTTGCTGTATTATACTATCTGGTGCAAATTCAGTTATCAAATACTGCAAAAGTAAATTCATTTGAATTGATTGTACACAGATCTCAGAAAAGCAGTAGTTTCCGGAGAGGGGATTTTAGAATGTGCGGGTTTCATTGTGTTGTTGATAATATTTCGTGACAGGCATCGTTATTTGCACCGATTCGTGAACAGTGATCATGTTCAGATGCTGGTGTCTGTGCGGTATGCAGTACGGATTACCGAATTGCCACACATTCAACTTCAGGGAAACATCACAGTTCCAGTGGTTTGTAAATTCTGGTTGTCTAACGCTGAAACTGACAAAGATATCAATATTTTGAGTTACTGTTGTGCTGGTCACCATGCCATCATCCAGCGAGGACAAATCATGGAAGATTTGTTCCAGTTGTTTGAGATAGAATCAAAAACGTTTAGAATCTTGCACGTTATTCTTTTATCTCTACTACGCGTTTATGAGATTTTTCTTCTTGTGTTTTCGTCGGGTTGGTTGATAGCCACTTCAACACTTCTTTCGTCAAGTGGAATGCTTGATCAACAAAAGCCCTAATCCCAAAACTTACTAACCTTCATATCCATCGCGATTGATGTCCCCCAACGCGGTTAAAGCGGCTCCAAACCCGGACAGTGAAGAGACTTTACACTGGTGCTCATCTTCTGTTGGAATCAAAATTTGATGTGCATTATCTGGCTCGTAAGAGAACGGTTTCCTAGACGCTTGGTCGTCTACCGGTTGTGAAAAATGAGCCTGTTGATTAAGAAATACAAACACTGCTCCGTAGTTCGGTTGACGACCTTCTTCCGCCTTCAGATAGTGATATGGGGCACCAACAATCAGATCATCCCATCTAGATGGAAGAATAGAAGCAGCAAAGAGATATTTAGTAAAGCAATAAAGACCACAGAAAACCATTGCCTGTTTGCTTAGCATTATATTTAAAGAGCTGCTTCTACATGTTTCCGGCTCTCCAGAAAATAGAGAATGAAACCTGTCATCTGAAAATAGCCAGTATATGTACATAGCTGTTTCTGTAGGATGCTGTATATGCAGTCTCAAGGGATTCGACATCTATAAACTGTCCCAAATAGGCGCATACCCGGATTATTTTCACGTGTTGCTTGTGGCAGCAACAGCGTTCATAAACTTTGTTTGGCAGAACGATAGGTTTACTGTCCTGTCTCACTTATCCAATAAATGAACTGTGTTGTAGACTTTATATTCTATTAGTATTTTGTTCTAGTGTATTACTGTCGTGAACCAGAATTGAGAATGCACGTTGAAATCAGAGGTTGTTGGATCAATAGGACATTCTAAATAAGGGGATGTTTGATTCATGTGTTTCACAATACATCAAATCAAAGATGTATGTGTGGGGGCGGAGGGAGAAAGAGAGGGAACAAGACTATTAACATCAATCTGGAGTTGTTTAAAGTTCCAACAATACACATAGGAAGGGATTAACATTAACCAGTCTTATACTAAAATAATCAAGGCTGTGCACGATGTGAAGTGCTCGATCAACATGAAACCGTTCGAAGGTCAATGCTACCGAGAAGAGATTTGTCAATCTTCCAAATACAACAGGTTTTGTCCTTGTGTTTCAGTGAAGTGTGTGAATGGATGGAATGTTTGGTGCACATACACACACACACCGCGCTGTTCAAATGTGTGATAACTGCAGTAGCAAGAATGTTTCGCATTTTTGTTGCGCACACAAACCCAATCTGGCTCAAAAATCCATGTGTGTGTGTGTGTGTGTGTGTGCGTGTGTATGTGAGCGAACAATCGTGCTAGTCCGCGCTCACGACCACACCGTATGCATCAATTTGAAAATTTTCTGTGTATGTGCCTACCGGGTGTGGAAATTTTGAAATTGGCGCGTGAACGATTGTCGTCGTTGATTTTCACTATTCTCAGTCCATCGGCTAACCGACCCTATATGCATTGTTCATCGTTCGCCGATCACAAACGATCATAAACATTTGGTGAAGTGACAGACGCACAATTTATCCTTTCATAATAGCGTCCTAAGATTGACGAAAACGAAAGGAAACGTGAATGAAGCAGACTAATTGAATATCACGGTGATTGGGTTCATCGTGTTGGTTTAACCGATCGTAAAATTCGAATGGGCTTCTCGAACAGGTAACCTCTGGTCCATTTCGCAGAATCGCGATTCGTTTATCGATTTGACATGGACAGTTTTGTGCATGAAATTTTAATTGAAGAGCAGATTACGAAAGAAGACTTTTTATGGAGGTGATGGAGGTGATGGTGGTGATTATTGTTCTGCCCCGGAAAGATATATTGCCAATGCCGAACTTTTCGACTGTTGCCTGAGCAACAATGCCGATGTGGAAAAATCAACGAGACAGACTCACAAGGGGATGGTGTCTATGCCCAGCCAGATTGACCCAATGGGTTCAGACGGAGCCGAAACAAAACTGGTCGTGGTGGACGGCGTTAGGTTTGTTTGAAATCCACCCCACTCCCCAATGGTATGCTTTGCCGTTGTACCTCAACATGCCTGATGAACCGTTGTCAGTATAATGAAGAATACTAAATGCTACTACCAAGCTGATATCAACTTAGCTAAAAGAACTAGTTTAATTGAACTGTGGATGATGATAAACACCAGTGTACATAACAAACCTGTAATCACTTGAAATTTCGCGTTATTCGGGCAGTTGCTTTCGATCCTTTATGATTCCAAAAAGTTTTGTTCCTAAAACACTTGTTACCAAAAGAGAGTTTCTCGGTGTCCTGGTTACACTAACCACAAATCTAATCTTGAAACCGATAAGTCACAGCGGTTTATGTGATTTGGATTACTTAACAGCGATTTCGATTCAGTCGGCTCAGTGTGCAGTGCAGTGCACTTGGTTATGCATACACCTAACACAGACACAATTGATTAATCCGTTAATGCTTGGAGTTTGTGGACTTAAAAGTCATTCCACTTGACGAGTATTCTTCCTACATGTGTCTGTCACTCAAGACGGGAGTAAATCGGTTCCGAAACAGTGCAATTTGATTTCTATTTTATGCACATTCTCTAGTCACGTCTACTCACTGCTT